ATGTTGCAGTAGAGAAAAGGCCTGCAGACAGACTTTCATCAAAACAAATATTTATAGAATTAATTGACACGATTTTACTCAGATTCTGTATTTTAAGCAGAATTCAGGGATTTGCTTTGAGCAGCTAAACAAGATGGCCTGCTTATAAATCTAGTGTTTATAATATATAATATAATATCATGCTCTTGGAATAAGAAAATGGAGTTTAAACAGAAAAGATCTTGTTCTGTTTGTCACTTGTTTTTCTTACCAAAACAAACTTACGGGGGTGACGTTAAGGATTTTTACCACTTGCCGTTTGAGCAAGTGGCTTTCACATTTCTTTTGCCCAGAAACAGTTTTTACTTGCCCAGTATAATGTTTGATAAATATAGTTCCTAATATTCATTTTTGTATATATATCAATGAAACATGTTTGTTTTTTAAATGTTTTTTTGTAATTCAGTAAGTTTCCAGGTTCCTGGTGTGTATCTGCATGCGTCAGATAATGAACTCCAGCCTACATTACCGTGTTAACATGCTTTTCAATCCTTCCTGCACATTCTTTTCAAACTAAACTTTGCTTTAAACTGTTGTTTGCTTGGTAAAATATAAATTGTAATGTTAAAAATCTAAAAAAAACTTGGCAGGTTAAAAACTTACACTACTACTACTCACCAATTTAACATGTTTTAGCTCTATAACATTTAAATGCATCACTCCAATGTCTAATAGAAAAATTTTATGAACATTTTTTAATGTATGACCACTGTACAGAAGACTGCCATATGATATGCGTATACAATTATTATTATTATTTTCCTAATCCCTGACTGATCATTTGTAATCTAGCGTGTATTATAGTATAGATTAAATTCATCATCCAGCTGCTGCTCTGCAGAATTCTCTCCCCATGGAGAGAAAAGTGACGCCATCACGCGGCTTTTTCAAATCACGCGAGAATGTGTACAAAACAACAAAGATGGCGGGGGCAATCCTTGTGGGTCGTTTTCAGCGAATGTCGGTAAAAAAAATTTTGCGATCATTTGCCCGTTGGGCAAATGCAATGAAATTTGTACTCTCCCAACAATAAAAACTACTTGCCCCGGGCAATGGTTAACATCGAGCCCTGACTTATGTCAAGGAAAATGTTTTAATATCAACAAAGTGTTATGAGATGATTGAGGGATCTGCCCTATTGTCTCAACTCGCTGCATTTCTTATAGGCGATCATTGACCAACTTTGGGTTTTAGAGTTTATGACATGGAGCTGGCAAAATGAAAATTTATTTCCGTAGAGGAAAGGAAGAGAAAACATGGATTGGATCGGGTCAGAGGTCACAGAGGAGGAAGTTTGGGAACAGAAACAAGGAAGAAAGGCTGATGCAGAGCTGCTAATGTTGGGATTGGACCGTATCTGCTAACCTCTAGTGTTGCTATAGTGGCTTTAGAGCCATCGATCATTAGTGTGCGGCTAATTGCCACCTATAAGGGCAATTAAAGAAAGGAGTCCAGTTCCTTTCTGCTCAGGGTTGCAGTATATGGGACAGATCAGAACCTTTCCACTTGTGGTTCTCCGTAGATCCGTTGGTTTTTGGCCCAGTTTGGATCTTTACAGACTGGTTATCCTCCCGCAGCAGTGTGTCACAGATATTTTTGATTTATGCCCAATATTGAAGCGTTGTCTGCGCTGTTATTCCACGCCACAACGCAAGAGGAACAATCAGGAACTAGCTGTGGGTCTAGATACGGCCGAGACGGTGAGGAAGTGGGGGCAAGTTTGTGCGACAACGGAGGGACATGAGGGCCAAAAAGAGCGGAGATCCAGGTGGAAAAAGGGTCCCAGCGTTCTCGCGC